TAGACCCAGCAGAAATTATAGTGCCTTTCACTGCTGATGAACTAAAGAAATTATGGGAAGATAATGAACCATGGCAAAGAGCTTGTGCTAATTTTTTGGGAGACATTACTAACAACTATCCAAAAAGCAAGAGGCTTAACTTCATAAAGAGAACTGTAGTAATAAGGGCGGCGGGGCTGCGTCCCCAGCACCCCGGCTGCCCACATGGCTAGCTTATGCTCCGAAATAACAATACACAAACGGTATTCATTTAAACACTGCTTGGCCCTTTAGCTCTAGCCCTTACAGGCTAATTCTCACATCCCGATCAACCCATCTCTATTAATCTGTGAGCACCGGTCTTACCGGGAAAGATTCAGCATGTCTAACCTGGCGGCTTGCTTCATCGCGTACGTCTGCCCGGGAGAGCGGAGCATGGCATCTCTCTGAGGCGTATGCTCCCGAGAGGAGAGCTGTAGAGTCTGAGCTCACTTCCTCTTCCTCCCAGCGTTCTGTTCTGTTTACTCCTCCCACCTATCTTCTAACCAATGAGGGCCAAGCAGTTTCTTTTTATTTAACCAATGACCTTCCTCCATCGGAGAACTTCTTGGATTCTTCCTCGAATCGTCCGTGATGCTCCAATAACTGGAGCCCGTACATTCTATACTGATGCCAATAAATCAGGGAAGGCAGGTTACAAGTCAGAAGACTTGGGTAAGGTGGAACAAAGTCCGTATAATTCTGTCCAGAAGGCAGAATTATATGCCATTCTTATGGTGCTAAGGGATTTTAAAGAACCTATTAATATAGTTACAGATTCACAATACGCAGAAAGAGTTATTTTACATATTGAAACTGCTGAATTTATACCTGATGATACAGAACTAACCTCATTGTTTCTCCAGGTTCAAGATTTGATCAGGAACAGGCTTTGCCCTATGTACATAACACACATCCGATCCCATACGGGTCTGCCAGGTCTTCTAGCACAAGGTAATGCAGAAATTGATCAATTATTGATTGGTAGTGTGCTCCAAGCCTCTGAATTTCATAAAAAACATCATGTTAATAGCAAAGGTTTGAAGAAAGAGTTTTCAATTACATGGCAACAAGCTAAGGAGATTGTAAAGAAATGCCCTACTTGCTCTTTCTATAACCAAACGCCACTGCCTGCAGGGACTAATCCAAAGGGCACCCAAAGGAATGAAATCTGGCAGATGGATGTGTTCCCCTTTGCAGAATTTGGCAAATTAAAATATGTTCATCACACCATTGACACTTATTCAGGCTTTCAGTGGGCAACTGCTTTAAGTTCAGAAAAAGCTGATTCAGTAATCACCCATTTATTAGAAGTCATGGCTATCATGGGTATACCTACACAAATAAAGACGGATAATGGTCCTGCTTATGTTTCTAGGAAAATGAAACGGTTTTTTGATTATTACAATATCAAGCATGTTACAGGTATACCATACAACCCTACAGGTCAAGCAGTCATAGAAAGATCAAATCGAACTATAAAGGATATGTTGAACAAACAGAAAGGGGTGGAAAACACCCCCAGAAGTAGGTTACATAATGCTTTGTTAACCTTGAATTTTCTCAACGCTAATGAGAAGGGAACAACAGCTGCAGAAAGACATTGGATAATGGAAAAGTCTACTGAACTACATCAACCAGTTTATTTCAAGGATGTGCTGACCTCACAATGGAAGCCAGGAGATGTGCTACGTTGGGGAAGGGGTTTTGCTCTTATCTCCACAGGTGAGGAAAAATTGTGGATACCATCAAAATTAATAAAGGTTTGGTTTGAAGAAGAGAAGCCACTTGGAAAAGATAAATAACAATTCTTTCATAAGGATGGCGAACATACTGATGGTAAGAAATACAGATAGGTTGGAGGCAGGGTTCTTTTCTTATCTCCACAGGAAAATACTCATCTTCAAAGAAATTAAGGGACCCTGAATATTTAATTACTGATGGATGGACACATTTTTGTAAGTATTAATTATATATATATATATATATATATATATGTCTTATTAAACATTTCTTTATAAATACGTAGAGCTGGTTTTGAAGTTGGACTCTGGCTCAGTCCCTCTCCAATTCCAAGTCTGTTAATAAGAGAAAAACCCAGAGTTTCTGGAGTTTCTGTCTCATGTCAAGAGCCATGATATGGGACAGAAAGAAATATGAGTTTAGAAAACATCTTTGCTTTTCTCCATATCTATCATACTTTTCATTGAATATATCTATCATGCCTTTCATTGAATATATATATGTATGTCTATATGATTAATGTTTAAGTTTTTCACAATGAACAATGAGTTTTTCCTGAAGTTACATTTGAAGTTTCCAGGAAGAAGATGGGGCCCCACAACAACAACTCTACCTGGTTGATATGACGTCCTGATACTGATAGCGCTACTACAAGACCTGTTTTGGATACCAGCTGCACAAGACGATCCCAACTTGGTTAGCTGAAATGGTGCACATCTTGTATAACATTCTGGCCAGACCTCCACAAAATACTCAGAGACTATTTGCAATTTTAAAAGACATTGATCTTGAAATTTAACCTTTCACAGGATCCCCCAGAAAGAATGTCGCCCCCATGACAGCTGGAAGTAATTCTAGAGGACGACGTCCCCTCTCCCAGTAAAATTTACCCCTGGGTTTAGGAACATCATTTAGGGGTTGGGAGGTTGGGGGAGGAATTTTATAAGCTCAGAGATCATTTTGGAAAAAAAAAGAGGGAAAATGATGAGATAATAGATTTATAATTGTGAGTTACTGCTTTTAGACAAATATATTGGTATCGATTCTTGTATATTGATACAAAGTTAAATTATATTGACTATTGTATGCATGCATGTTTCTATCTCTGTTTAAAACATTTTTTATGTATTGACATATATTGTATTGATAAATATATATTGTATATCTTTACCATATTGCAGTGTACATTTCTACCTCTGATTAAGATACTTATATAATGTTTGTGTATTGATATATATTTACCATATTGCAATGTATATTTGTACAGTGTTTATATTTGGAGGTCATTATCCTCATTTGTTACACAGTTGTTTATTGTCTTAGTCTTTAAGTTAGATAGATATTGAGAATTATATAGATTAGTAGTCATCTAAGTTTGTCATTTATAATTAGACTAATCAGGTTCTCTAGATATATAGAGATTATACTCAGTATAGATAGATAATCTTCGACCTCTTCAAAGAGCTGTAGAAAATGGCCTTTAATCTAACTCAGAGTTTCGTGATAGTGAGACACAATTGCTCCTGGCAACACCACTCTATTCCCGAGAGAATGTTGAGCACCAAAGACACTCCACCTGGAGCCTTTCTATTTGGCAGAACTGGCCTTTGGGCAAAGAAATGCCCATACCTCAACCACTGACAGAGATACAGAGTGTGCATCAATGGATAAAACAAGACTGTCATATCCTGCCAAGATAGGGTAAGATAGTTTTGAAAAGTTCCTTGCCTTTAATAATGGTATGTCAGTTATGTTAGGCCTTAGCCAAAATTGGTTGACTCAACATTGCAAACGAGACTTTGGGTGATTGCCCAGGTAGTCGGTTGTCTCTGTCAATTGTTGCACATTTTGGATATATCTCATTTGTTGAGTAGTGTTTATTCCCTTCTCAGATCTTTGACGGAGTTGAAGATTATATAATTGTAGTTACTCTCTACATTATTTGGACTCCTTGAGATAGAATGTTTAGCAAAGCTTTTGTTCTCAATATTGTTTGTTATATTTATTATTTGTTGTTATTGTATATAGTTGTATTTGGTTTGGTTCTGTCTTATTTAGACAAAAAGGGGAACCGTGCCCAGCTCTGTGTGTGTGTGTACATGGTATATGCATGCAGGTTCCAGAAGGGGACATTGTGTCTCACTGAACCTGAAGCTCACTGGGTAGCCCAGTTCCTGAGTTCCCAGGATCCATCCATCTCCATCCTGCAGTGCTGGAGTTACAGACATGAAAGCCATGTCTGACTTTATGTGGGTGCTGGGGATCTGAACTCAAGTCCTCTTGCTTTCCTGGCAAACTCTCTTACCTACGGGATCATTAAGACATTTCAGGATTCTTCACACACTTAGACACAGGTGAAGAAAGAGAGGACCATGGGAGAAACTTCAAGGGTGACTAGGAAGTAAAAGGCATGGGTTAACTGTGGTAAAAAGAAATTGGGAAATGATATGAAGTGTAGAACCTAGAGCACAGGGTGTAAGCTGATTCTAAAGAAAGGGTTGAGATGATGTGGATTTGAGAAAGCTTTAGATTGACTGACTTCCCACCTGCTGCCTTCTGTAGTCTGTGTGCGGAGTGACATTAGAACCTTGCTGTCTTCAGCTGGAAAGATGGCTCAGTGGTTAGAATGCTTGTTGCTCCTCCCGATTATCCAGGTTCAATTCCCAGCACCCACATGATGGTTCATAACCATACATAAAACTTGTTCCAGGGCATCCAATGTCCTCTTCTGACCTCCATGGGCACTAAGGGTGCAAGTGGTGTACATCAGCATTCACATAAGATATTTAAGTCTAGGTGGGGCAGTGGTGGCAATGCCTTTAATCTCAGAACCTGGGGCAGGGGATAGAGGCAGGTGAATCTCTGGAGTTCAAGGCCAGCCTGCTGGTCTACAGAACTAGTGCCAGGACAGACTGCTATTTAGGTTGAGGTTGCTATTTAGTGTATTTTTAGTACCAGAAATTTTTTCCTGTTTTTTTGTTTTGTTTTCGAAATAATTTTCCATACCCACAGATTTTTTATCTCTGCCTTAGTCTCATGATGTAATTTAATAAGTGTGCATCTTTGGCTCTCAGTATGTGTATATATACTGCTTGATGTTCGGATATTTTTCTGTTGATATTGGCTTGTTTAGGGACAGGATGTGGTTAAATAGAATGAGTTTCATTATTCGCAGGAATTGCTATTTTGTGCACAGACTCTGCGTGTTTTCCTGAGTGATGCTTTGTTCTCTGTTTCAGGAGGTTTACTGAACTGAAGCACTATAGTGACGAGCTGCAGTCCGTCATCTCCCATCTCCTTCGAGTCAGAGCTGTAAGTGATCCAGAGCTCGGTGACACTTTCTACAGACTGCACTTGTCACTGAGTCCCCATGCTTGACTGGTTTTACATTTAAATCTAGTATATTCATAACCAAAATGCCTTCTAAGAGAGATGGGAAGGCTTTTCTGTTAGAAACAGCTTACAGGGGCTGAAGAGATGGTTCAGCAGTTAAGAGCACTGACTGTTCTTCCAGAGGACCTGAGTATAATTCTCAGCGTCCATGGTGGCTCACAACCATCTATAATGAGATCTGATGCCCTATTATATAGGGCATGCAGGCTTACATGCAGGCAGAACACTGTATATATAATAAATAAATCTTTTAAAAAAAAGAAAAGAAAAGGAGAAACAGTTTGAAGAATTTGAGCCCATTGATTTCTTCCTAGTGTACAATGGTGCAGTTTTAGATGGAACTAGGTTGACTGTATAATAATTATTGAAGCTGGATGCCAGGAAGTACATGTACACGTTTTTGGTCTTTATACATTTTTTAAAAAATATAGGCAGGCAGTGGTGGTCACACCTTTAATCTCAGCACTTGGAAGAAAGAGACAGGCAGATCTTTGTGAGTTCGAGGCCAGCCTGGTCTACAGAGTGAGTTCCAGGACAGGCTTCAAAGTTAAAGACAAACCCTGTTTCAAAAAACTAAAAAAAAAAAACAAAAAAAAAAAACAAAAAAAAACTTAAAAAAAATTTCCATGTGTTGAATCTTCTAGAATTGGCAAAGTAATAGATGAGTGTGAGTTTTTCCATGCGGGTGCTAGGATTGAACCCGATCCTCTGGAAGAGCAACCAGTGCTCTTAACTGTGGAGCCATCTCTCCAGTCCTTCTCTGTATTCTTTGTTTGTCTCAGTCTTGGGACTCAAAGGACCACATGAATGCATGAATGCTAGACAAGTACTCTGCCACTGAACTGTGCTTTTCCGTACTTTCATAATATTTGAAATTTTCTGTGATAGTACAGAAAAGTAGGACTGGGGGATGTAGCTCCATGGTAAAGTGTGTGACCAACTTGTACAAGGCCTTGACCTCCATCTCTGTCAACAGACACGGTAAGATAGACTACGAGTGTGGAGACGGCTCAGTGGGTAAAAAGTACCCTTCCTGCAAACACGAGGACCTAAATTGAATTCTCAGCATCCCCATAAAATTGTACACTTCACTAAAGACCAAGGTTCCAACACAGCCCCAATAGACTCCTTAAATGCTAAGATAGTCAGAGTAAGTTGGGTGGTGGTGGCACTGGTGGCGCATGCCTTTAATCCCAACTCTCGGGAGGCAGAGGCAGGCGGATCTCTGTGAGTTCGAGACCAGCCTGGTCTACAAGAGCTAGTTTCAGGACAGGCTCCAAAACCACAGAGAAACCCTGTCTTGAAAAACCAAAAAACAAAACAAAACAAAAAAAAACCTCGATTTTATGTCTACACAACAAGAGTGATTGTGTTAATCCCACCGTTGAGAATAAGTCTACTACCACGATTTGTGCCAAATTTGAAGCAAGCTTGATTTTTATTGGGTTGTCCAAGAGTAGGCCAGCGAATTTCCCATCAAGTCCAACCAGGGTCCAAACATACATCCTGACCTTTTTCCTGCTTCTGAACCTCCCCCCACAGGTGATCAAGCACGGTGGAGATGGGTCAAACAAATTTGTTTAGGGAAGTGAAAACCTTGTTAAACCCATAAAGCCTCCAGCATTTCAGGAACTCTCTGTCCTTGAGCAAGGGGCTTGCAGACTAGAAGCATTTTTGTTTCTTGAATCTCCTGGGCATAGCAATTTAAAATGTAACTTCCATAATTATTTCGATTTTTACAGTCCCTACTAAATATAATATAGCCTGTTCTATAAAGTGAGTTCCCAGACAGTCAGAACTGAAACTCTGTCTTCAAAAAAGCAAAAGAAAAGAAAAAAGAAAAAAAGTAAGTCAACTGGAGTGGGTGGCTCTCTCTATTATCCCCTGCTTAGGAGTAAGAACTGAATAGTTAAAAGGGTTTCTGGTCAATGAGGTGAAATTTCTAGGTCTTTCATTACTTTGAAATTACACTTGAGTATGAGTCAAGTTAAAGTTCTACTATATCAGTGGAACCATGTGATACCTTCTGATTGACTTGGGTTTTAAAATAGTGTTCTGAAATATGAGAAAGATCCTGAGACACGAACAGTCACAGTAGAGTGACAGGATGCAAGGATGGGGGCTTGAAAACTCACACAGAAACTCCATGGATTTTCCTAGTGGCAGTGTCAACTGTAGAAGATAGCTCAGGTGCTGTTTAAGACAGGTGGCAAGGGGGCTGGAGAGATGGCTCAGTGGTTAAGAGCATTGCCTGTTCTTCCAAAGGTCCTGAGTTCAATTCCCAGCAACCACATGGTGGCTCACAATGAGGTCTGGTGCCCTCTTCTGGCCTGCAGACATACACACAGACAGAATATTGTATACATAATAAATAAATAAAATATTAAAAAAAAAAGACAGGTGGCAAGATATAAACTGCTTAAAGGAAAAGTGGAAGTATTACTTTTTTCTGTTGAGGATAATTCTTTTTAAACCATGTATAGGGGGCTGGAGAGATGTGTCAGTGGTTAAAAGCCCTACCTTCTCTTCCAAAGGTCCTGAGTTCAATTCCCGGCAACCACATGATGGCTCATAACCATCTGTAATGAGATCTGATGTGCCCTTCTGGCCTGCAGGCATGAATGCAGGTGGAACACCATATACTTAATAAATAACTTAAAAAAAAACATGTAAAGGTAAAAGTTACATTACAGCTAGGTATGAATTAAATACTTGAGTAAACAGAATTACTAAACAGCAGGTGGCCTCAGGGCCAAGAAGGGTCAGTTTTGGTCTGTGAGCTAAAGGAAATTAAAACTAACACTTTTCCTTGACTATTACTTGTGTACTGTGATGCTAGACATGTTAGGATAGCCTCCCTTAATGACCCTGTGGGGACAGTCCTGTCACTCCATTTTACACAGTCCGAAACAGGCAAGGGAAATTAATGGGCTCTAGTACCTCCCAGAAGACAGATGTGGAGACCAGAATGAGACTGTAAATCTGCCTCAGGAGCCCATTCTCTCAGCCACCCACAGATATACATGGGCAAAGGATGGGAAGATAACAGACACTCAGTGAGTTGCCCTGGTTAGCAGAGTCACCTGATGGAGGTCATGTCCTTATCTGAAAGACACAGTATAAAGGTTTGGAGTACTCTAGTCTCGCAGTTCTACATAGCAGCTGCACTCATGGGGCTGAAAGGTTGAGAGCACCTGGTGCTATTGTGGAAGACCAGGGTCAGTTACCAGCACCCACAGGATGGTTCAAAACCATCTATATCTCTATTTCCAGGGGATTCAATGCCCTCTTCTAGACTGCATACACATGATGCACAGGCGTCCATGCAGGCAAAACACATATACATGTAAGTAAAAATTAAAATTTTACAAAAATTTTATAAGATTTATTTTATATATGATTGCTCTATCTGCATATATACCTTTATGCCAGAAGAGGGCATCAGACCCCACTAGAGATGGTAGTGAGCCACCATGTGGTTGCTGGAAATTGAACTCAGGACCTCTGGGAGAGCAACCAGTGCTCTTAACTGCGGAGCCATCTCTCCAGCCCCTAAATAAATCTTTTCAACAAAGAAAGAACTTGAACTCAACTACATGGTTCTATTTCCTGTTGTATTCTGTTACCTCTTCTCCAGGCAGAATCCCATTTTTAATATAACCTTGTTAATATTCTAAAAACACAACTTTTTTTGCTAACATTCTAAAGATGTAAATTATAGTTACTGACATCATATTTAATATTTATTGTTTGGTTGTCTATAGATGTGGTAATATCTGGTGTTCGCAGCATAGTTAGAGAGGGTGGTCGGAGAGAATCACACAGCTTCTTTGGAAATCACTTGTATCAGGAGTCTTTATTGTTTTGAGACAGGGTCTCACTGTGTAGACTTAGCTGTCCTGGGGCTCACTTTGTAGACCAGACTATCATAAGTTCACAGAGATGCACTTGCCTCTGCCCTTCAGTGCTGGAATCCGAGGCACAAGCCACTGGGCCCAGCTAGGAATTTTAAATCTCTGAATCTCTGAAATCTGCTAGGAAACTCAAAGAAGAAAAATCTGTGTGTATCCAGATCTTCAAGTTCATCATCTAATAGCAAGCCATAGACTCTTTCCTTTTCCATTGTCCACTTCTCCTTCAGTAAGGAATTTTAGCCCCACAGCAGGAGGGGAGGGGATAATCAGGATGGTGCTGTCAGTGTCTGCTGCTGCAGGCTTGTTCATAAGGAAACAGTCTGAAGGGGGAAAGGTGCCTCTCAGAGATGCTTTCTGCAGCATCATAATCCTGGAAAGGCTATAGGAAAGGAGGCTTACGGACTCTGATTGTATACAGCTACTTCGTGTGCTGTGATTAAAACTAGTGCTAACATGTTGGGCAAAGTACACCTTTAGTCCTAGCTCTCAGGAGGCAGAGGCAGGTGGATCTCTGTCAATTTGAAGCCAGCCTGGTCTACAGAGTGAGTTCTAGGACAGCCAGGGCTACACAAAGAATCCCTGTCTCAACAAAACAAAAAGAAAAAGGCAAACCAGAAAAACTGCTAAAAAGGACTGTGGCAGCACAGCAAACATGTCAGGCTGCTCTAGTTCTGTGTTTGTCATGTGGTTTGGAGGGTGCTTTTCTTTCCTGGTAAGCATGATGATTGTTTTGTTTCCCCTCTGACTCTTAAAAATGTATATGGATTTTTGCCAGACGGTAGTGGCATACACCTTTAATCCCAGCACTTGGGAGGCAGCGGCAGGCAGATCTCTGTGAGTTTGAGGCCAGCCTGGTCTATACAGCTAGTTCCAGGAAAGGATCCAAAGCTACAGAGAAATCCTGCCTTAAAAAAAAAAAAGTATATGGGTTTTTAAAAAGTAATTTGTGTATAACTTCAACCTAATACCAATTTCTGTTAAATATTTCAGAGAGTAGCAGATCGACTCTATGGTGTGTATAAAGTACATGGGAATTATGGAAGAGTTTTTAGGTAAGTATCTTACAGAATTAAACACTTAGCTCTGATTCACTTTTTGGCTTTAAAACTCTTATAATGTATGAGTCAGGAGAATACGATTTATTTGTTTATATTCTCTAATGGAGTGTGTGTGTTCACATGTGAGTAGGTGCATGTGTTGAATGATGTGTACATGTTGAAGTGTATGTACATGTGTGTAGAATCCAGAGGTTTGTAGTAAGATTTTTCTTTGAACTGCCAGCCCCAAATAATAACAAAGAGACTTAATATTAATTGTAGCTCAGCTTTAGCTTAGGCTTATCCCACTCGCTCTTTTAACTTAAATTAACCCTTTTATATTAATGTATGTTTTGCCTCATGACTTTTTACCTTTCTTTCATTCTGTATGTCTCTCTGTATCTCATTGGTGTCTCTCTTGTGCACCTAGAATGATCCCGAGTTCCCCTCTTTTTCCTGGAAGTCCCACCTAACTCTCCTGCCTAGCTATTGGCCATTCAGCTTTCTATCACATAAATCACAAGCAAGACATTTTCACACAGTGTACAAAATCCCACAACAGAGGTTAGCATTGGGTATCATTTGATTGTTCTTCACTTTATTCATCAAGGCAGGTTCTCTTCCTTGACACTAGAGCTCACCAGTTTAGATTAGTCTAGCCAGGCAGCTTGCTCTGTCCCTGTGTCCCAAGTGCTGGTATCATAAGCAGGTTGTCATGTAGAGGAGTCCCAGCTGTCCAAACTCTGATCCCACGGGCTCCCATGGTAAGTAATCTCTTTCCTCACTGAGCCGTCTCCATCGCCTTCTGGTTCTTTTGGAACAGAGTTTCACCCTGTAGCTTCGGCTGGCCTGGAACTCCTTATGTTGTAGCCCAGGCGTATCTGAGACTTGCAACAATCCACACATGTCTGACTCTCAAGTGTTGAGATTTACAGATTCAGTGATGTCCTGTACTAACAGCTTTCTCTTGTCTAGTAAGCGCTTTCATTTTAAAGCCATTCCATAAACAAAAGTGTTGAGAGAATTCTACATGTTGAGTGACAACTCCTGACTGAAGGGACAAAGGCCTCCTACTTTCTCTGCTGATGGCCTGGAGAGAATGAATCACTGACTTTTTACCCTTCTTTCATTCTGTATGTCTCTCTGTATCTCACTGTCTAATAGAATTGGATACTTTCTCTTTCTTTTCTTTGTTTTTTCCATTTATGATTTATGAAGACTTTAGCAAGATAAGTTTTCGAATCTTAGGATATTTCAGTAATTTGAATACTTGTGTAAGGGCTGGAAGTATATCTCAGGGTTAGAACAGTTGTCTAGTCTATGAGGCCCTGGGTTCAACCCTCAGTACCAAAGTGGGGAGGGTGGTATATATATGTATGTGTGTATGACTTGCATGTTTTGGTTACTTAAATTTTTAGTTTATTTATATTAGGAGTGTTTTGCCAGCAAATGTGTATATGTGCCTAGTGCCTATGGAGGCCCAAAGTTCCTCTGGAACTAGAGCTACAGATATTTGTGAGCTGCCATGTGGATGCTGGGACTCAAACCCAGGTCTTTAGAGATGGGGTCTTACTGTGTAGCCAAGGCTGGCCTAGAACTCACTTTGTAGACCAGGAAAACCTAGAACTTGCAGGGTCTGCCTGCCTCTGTATCTGCAGTGCTGGTGTTAAGTCTTGTGCCACCATCCCAATCCCAGCTTTAAATTCTTTTCTTTTGTAAATTTTCTTTTTGATGGGTGGTCCTTTTCCTTATTATTTTTGTTTCTTTGTTGTTTTTTGAGATAGAGTCTCATGTAGCCAGGCTGGCCTTAAATTTGTCTGCAGTCAAAATCAACCACCTTGAACTTGTGGTTCTCCTGCCCCCATCTTTCAAGTGTTTGGTTATCGGATGTGCACCATGTTTAACACGGTAGGCAGGCCTTGTACTGACTGAGCTTTGTGTATTGTCTTCTTACCTTTAATTATGAAATTTTAAGGGAAAATCAGTGTACTTGAGTCAGGGACAATAACCCACCTGTGGGTCCTAGCTAGAGAAGGATCTTGTGAACACAGTTGGGAGTAATACCCCGCAGAGCAGTTCATAGCGCTTCCCTTGTTTCTTCCAGTGAGTGGAGTGCCATCGAAAAAGAAATGGGCGATGGGCTGCAGAGTGCCGGGCACCACATGGACGTGTGAGTAACTTAAGAACTATGTAGCTGGGCTTGCTCAGTGGGGAGTGCTGGGTACTCGCCGGTTTATATCAAGTTAACTGGCATTTATAGTTATGGTTTGCACGTATACAGAGAATTTGTTTCTCTAGGAACGCAAGATTGGTTTATACATGTATTCTGGAACTGTCTAATTCATACAGTAACAAAGTAAAGATAAAAACCTGTAGCCAGGTGGTGGTGATGCACGCCTTTAATCCCAGCTCTCGGGTGACAGAAGCAGGTGGATCTCCATGAGGCCAGCCTGAGTTCCAGGACAACCAGTTCTACACAGAGAAATTCTCTCTTGAAAAAACAAAAAAAGAGTTCAATTGAAGACAATTAAGTCCAAAAATAGATGCATACTTTTCTATAGTGAACTTTAAAAGCACTGCTGGAAAAATAAGTTGCTACACAGAGAAGAACCTCTGAACCAAATCTCACTTTACATAAAACGTAATTCAATTTTTATAAAATATATAAATGTATTTAGATCTTTTATATACATCATAATAAAATTAAAATTGTAGCTTTCAGGACAATATTGAAGAGAATGTATAGAGGAAAAGGTACTTTTTAATTTTTTTATTTTTTTAAGATATAGTCCTGGATGTCGTGGAATTCACTATGTAAATGAGCCTGGCCTGTCTCTGCACACCAAATGCTGGGATTCAAGCTGTGCATCAGCATGCCTAGAATAGAAAAAGAACTCTTAATTTTAAACTGATAGAAGTTAATGCTGCATAAGGACCTCATCCAGTAGAGAAGCTGAAAACGTGCTGGAGATGGTTGATACAGCGCACATGTACCTAATTCTCCTGAACTTCGCACTTACACCTTGTCCCAGGACTGGAGATACAGGGCAGTTGGTAAGGTACTTGCCTAGCGTGCACAAGTCTTTGGGTTCCATCTCCAGCACCATGTAAAACCAGTTGAAGTGGGGCGCAGGAAGGTGGAGGCAGGAGAACCAGAAGTTCAAGGTCAACCCTGTCTGCACAGGGAGTTTGAGGACAGTTACCTGAGACCCTGCCTCAAAAAATTCCTTTGAAGATAAATTTTATGCATTTTTTTCTATGAAAATTTTCAAATTAAATAAAGAAAAGATGGGGCTGGAGAGATGACTCAGAGATCCAGAGGTCCTGAGTTCAATTCCCAGGAACCACTTGGTAGCTCACAGCCATCTGTAATGAGATCTGGTGCCCTCTTCTGGTGTGCAGGTATACATGCAGGCAAAACACTGTATATGTAATTAAATAAATAAATTCTAAAAAAGAAAGAAAAGATAGGTGTAAGGCAGATGAGGTAGTCAGTGGGTAAAGGCCCTTGTTTCCAAGGCTGGTGAGTACAAGTTTAAGTCCCAGGTCCCACATCCTAGAAGAAAAGGACCAATTCCCAAAAGTTGTTCTCTGCTGGGCGGTGGTGGCGCACACCTTTAATCCCAGCACTTGGGAGGCAGAGGCAAGCAGATCTCTGTGAGTTTGAGACCAGCCTGGTCTACAAGAGCTAGTTCCAGGACAGGCTCCAAAACCACATAGAAACCCTGCCTCGAAAAAACAAAAAAAAAAAACAACAACAACAACAACAACAAAAAAGTTGTTCTCTGTCCTCCACCATGCCCCATGGCACACATGTGCCCCCCTTATATAAATAAAATGTAATCGCCATATTTATTTATTGTTACTTTTTCAATTTTTTTTATTGATTTTTATTGAGCTCTATATTTTTCTCTGCTCCCCTCCCTACATCTCCCCTCCTCTTCAACCCTCTCCCATCGTCCCCATGCTCCAAATTTACTCAGGACATCCTGTCCTTTTTCTCATGTAGATTAGATCTATGTAAGTCTCTCTTAGGGTCCTCATTGTTGTCTATGTTCTCTGCGATTGTTATTTGTAGGCTGGTTTTCTTTGCTTTATGTTTAAAAACCACTTATGAGTGAGTACATGTGATGATTATCTTTCTGGGTCTGGGTTACCTCACTCAAAATGATGTTTTCCAGCTCCATCCATTTGCCTGCAAATTTCAAGATATTGTTAATTTTTCTACTGTGTAGTATCCATTGTGTAAATATACCACATTTTCCTTATCCATTCTTTGGTCAAAGGGCAATGCTGTTCATAGCAGCATTGTTTGTCATAGCCAGATCCTGGTAATTGCCATATTTAAATAGCTACTTTAAACCAATAATAAAAAGGAAAAAGGTCTTAAATATTCGTGAAAAACATGAGTATGTCAGGTAATGGATATGTTAACTGCTTGCATTAGTCATGCCATATGACTACCTATATGAAGCCATCACTTTTACATTGTGAATGCGCAGTCTTTATCAGTGCAGCTCAGGCTATTGGGTAGTAGGAAAATACTTTATTTAAAATAAATATTACTTTTCCGTATGCCATATTCAAGCTAACTAGCTTTTTTTTTAAAGATTTTTTTTTTAAAAAAAACTTATTAGCTGGGTGGTGGTGGCGCACAACTTTAATCTGAGCGCTCTGGAGGCAGAGGCAGGTGGATCTCTGTGAGTTCGAGGCCAGCCTGGTCTTCAGAGTGAGTTCTAGGACAGTCAAGGCTACACAGAGAAACCCTGTCTCAGAAAACAAAACAAACAACTATTTATGTTTGTGTGTATGTGCCTGTGAGTGTGTGCTCGAGCCGTGTGTGTGCAGATGCCACTGATGCCAGGAGAGGGTGTGGGATCCCCTGGAGATGGAGTTATAAGTGCTTTATCTGCCACTTGCTTTAAATATTAATTTTTGTTGACACAGTTAGAGTTACTGTGTTTCTTGACAGGTACGCATCCTCTATTGATGATATTCTGGAAGATGAGGAGCACTATGCGGACCAGCTGAAGGAGTATCTCTTCTACGCGGAAGCGCTGCGGTGAGTTTAGTGACAGCCCAGAAATGTAGACAATAGGCCCCTTCTTAAGTGAGCTGACTGTGTCAGGCCCCTTGATGAGACCCAGAGTATTCCCTTCTCAGGCAGAAAACCAGAAGTTCCACTCTTCACGTATCTTCTTGACAAGAGCTTTTCTGTTTGGGATCATGGAGTGTCTGTTTCTTCCTGCTTTTTTCAATTTGAAGATCGGGAACAGAATACAGGCTGAGTGTGTAGAGCCCTACAGAGACAAACAGAATTCTCTGTTAGACAGACTTAATGGATAAGAAAAAGTTAGCATGTTTTCCTCCCTCCTTCTTAGTTGCTTTTCTGTTGCATTGAAGAGACACTATTACCAAGGCAGCTTACAATAGAAAGCACTTAATTGTGACCTTGGGAGGGTTAGTCCATGGGCATCATGGTGGGAGCATTGAGGCAGGCAGGCAGGCACTGTAACTTAGAGTTTACATCTGATCCACAAGCAGCAGGAAGAGAGAAACAGGGAGCTAACTTGAGTGGCATGGGCTTTTGAAGCCTCAGAGCAACCCCAGCGACACACCTCCTAATCCTTCCTAGTGTCATCAGCTGGGGACCAATCATTCATATATATGAGCCTATAGGAGCTAATCTCCTTCAAATTACCACTCTTTCTTCCTTCCTTGGATTTTTTTTTTTAATTCAAGTTAGGAAAACCATTTTTCTGAAAGGGTTATTGGCTTTTGATTAGTTTTCTGTCACGTTGAAGAGCAGTATAGAATTCTGTTGGAGGCAGGGCACAGTGTGCACGTCCTTAGTCACAGTGCTCAGGAGGCAGCCGATCTCTGAGGTCAAGGCCCGCCTTGTCTACATAGTGAATTCCAGGCCAGCCAGGGCTATATAGGAAGAAGACCCTGTTTCCAAATTGAATGAAGAAAATAAAAAGAAGTAGAACTCTTTTGGGGGGCTGGAGAGTTGGCTTAGTGGTTAAGAGTTTTACTGCTCTTCCAGAGGACCAGGTTCAATTCCCAGTACCTATGTCAGGCAGCTTACAACTAACTAGTTGTAACTCCAGCTCCAGGAGATCCGCTGCACTCACATGAACACACAAACTCATGCACACGCACACACAGAATTCAAAGTAAAAATAAAAAAAAAAATTTTACTGGGCAGACAGAAGAACTGTATTCTTTAGCTTGTCAACATGAAAACATTGGCAGGTAGTTAGCTTTTTCCTTTCCTGCTTTGTGTTTCACCAAAGTGTTTTCAGGTTATGAAGCAAAAGAGAATTGTTGCATACAGCGAAATTCTGTGTAGTTCCTACGAATCATAAAAATGATCACTGTGGATTGACATGGAATGGTGCCCACTGTTTGTGGCTAAGTGTAAAAGTATAGCCGCAGTAGAGGTGTGGGTGTGTGTATAAATGCCTAGCTGTGCTCTGGAAGAGCAGACACACTATGTGTGGATTGTGGGTACAGTGGGATTGTGGGTGTGTGTAAATGCCTAGCTGTGTTCTGGAAGAGCAGACACACTGTGTGTGGATTGTGGGTGTGTGTAAATGCCTAGCTGTGTTCTGGAAGAGCAGACACACTGTGTGGGGATTGTGGGTGTGTGTAGAAATGCCTAGCTGTGTTCTGGAAGAGCAGACACACTGTGTGGGGATTGTGGGTGTGTGTAGAAATATCTAGCTGTGTTCTGGAAGAGCAGACACACTGTGTGTACAGTGGGTGTTTTGGAACTGCTCTATTTTGTGCATTTCTGCATTGGAATTGTCATAATAAGCGTAATTCACTATGATGATTTAAAGCTAAGATCTGTCTAGATAGAAAAGGAAGGGAACTTTGAGATCTTACCCTATCAAAGAATGTTCACTTGTCCCAGGATTCCACAGTGTGAGTTCCTTTCCTGTGGTGCATAGCAGCTCAGGAGGCAGAGGAAAAAAGGTTTGAAATTCAAAGACAACTGTGACTGTACCTAATGAGACTGTTACAGAAAGAGAGTTTGAACAATTGATAGTGGTGTGTTTATTGAAAATAATTATATAAGCCACCTTTGGCTTTGGATACGTAAAGTTTTTATGCTTAGATTCAGTTAGATTCAATTTTCAAGGTTGGACTACTACATTTTAAACATGAAAGTTACAAAAGGTCACAAAAGCCCTGGACCTAGTTAGGTATGATGAATGCCTCTCCTGCACCCCTGAAACATTTCTAATATATTAAAGAAGCCAGAAAAACTCAATGGCTGTGCTTGCTCCCCCCAAGGGCTGTGTGCCGGAAGCATGAGCTTATGCAGTATGACTTGGAGACGGCTGCTCAGGACCTGGCTTCCAAGAAGCAGCAGTGCGAGGAGCTGGCCACTGGGGTGAGTGTTGTTCAGGGTTCTGCGGCTGCGGAGGTCAGAGAGCAAGAGGATCATGAGGGGACGTTAGAGGTTTTTGATTGCTTTTTTTTTTTTTCTGAAATGGTTTATTACAGATTACAAAATAACTGCATAGGATACAATGTGTTGGCTTCCCTTGTCTTTCCTTTCCCTTGTGTGTGTGTGCACGCGCGCTGCATGAGTGTAGTACCTGCAGGAGGCTGAAGAAGACATTTGGATCCCTTAGAACTCCTTAGGAGTTGAAGGCAGCTGTGAGTCACTGTCCTCCTAATGTGGTGCTGGAACTGAACCCAGGTCTTCTGAAAGAGCAGCAGATACTCTAACCACTGAACCATCTCCTGCCCCTTTTGGTTGCTTTCTTGATTTAGAAAAAAAAAAAAAGATAGCAGTCGGAGCTGGAGAGATGGCTCAGCAGTTAAGAGCATTGGCTGCTCTTCCAGAAGACCTGGGTTCAATTCCCAGCACCCCCTTGGCAGCTCACAACTGTCTGTAACTCATGTTCCAAGGGATCTGATGCCCTCATATAGACATACATGCAGGTAAAACACTGATGTGCATAAAATAAAAATTAAAAAAAATAACAACCATCAAAACTATGCTCTTTTTAGTCCTTAGTCCTATCTAATTGGGCAAGGTGTTTTATAGGAATTTTAGTTCAGGAGCTGGGGAAATACTCAGTGATTAGGAGTGCTTACTGTTCTTGCAGAGAATCAGAAATTGATTCCTAGCACTTAAGTTGGGCAGCTCCCAATCACCTTTAAGTCCAGTTCCAAGGAAATCTGTGCCATATTTTGGCGTCTTTGTACACCTGAATGCCCACACACATACACACAGATTTAAAAAATTAAAAATTTTTTAAAACTTAGTTTACTTTGGAAAGCCTTACTCAATCAGAATCTCTCCTAAGAAAGTCCTTTTTAACGTTTATGGTATGATTTGTGTACTTCTGAAGAAAATTTGGTATCTTATATAAACCTCTCTGCAGAGCCCAGTAACCTGACTAGAATGCATCAGTTGACATGGCAAGAGAAAGGTTCTCGGAACAGGGAGATAGCAAGTGCATGCTGCTTCTCGGCCACTGGTTCACGACAAGCGCTGCAGTGCTAACAGTACCTCTCAGGAAGCCGGTGTGGTGCTGCGCACCTTTAATGCCACCACTGGGAGCAGAGACAGGTGATCTCTGTTGAGTTTGAAGCACCAAAAAAACAAAACACCTCAAAACACCAGTACCATAATGACCATTTTCAAGTAGTGTCAAGTATAATTACATTGTTACAGCCAATCTTTAGAACATTGGCATTTTATGAAACTAAATCCATTCCTATTGACAGCTTCAGTCCTCTTCTCCCAGCCTGGAAACCACAGTCCACTTTTGCTGCTGGTCTGACCCCTTTAGATACCCCGCTTGCGTGCAGTCAGTGTTTGTCTTTGTGGCTGTCGTCCCCACTTGTCATGATGCCATCCGGATTCATCTGGGTTGTAATACACATCAGAATCCTCGTGTTTTTAGCTGAGTAATGTCCGTCTGTATGTTCACCTGTAGTAGTAGGAGCGGCAGGGCTGCGTCCCCAGCACCCTGGCTGCCTGCTAGCTTATGCCCCGAAATAATTACACGGACACTGTATTCTTTTAAACACTGCTTGGCCCATTACCTCTAGCCCTTACAGGCTAATTCTCATATCCCGATCAACCCATCTCTAATAATCTGTGTAGCATCAGTCTTACCGGGAAAGATTCTAGCCTACGTCCATCCTGGGTTGGAGCTTCATCGTGTGTGCCTCAGAGAGCAGAGCTCTCGCATCCACCCAGGTGAGGGGAGCATGGCGTCTCTTTGAGCTCACTTCCTCTTCCTCCCAGCATTCTGTTCTGTTTACTCCTCCCACCTATGTTTTAACCTATCAGGGCCAAGCAGTTTCTTTATTGCTTAACCAATGAAATCAACAGATTGATATATGACACTCCCACATCATTCACGCCTTGTCAGTTCGTCTGTTTCTGTTTCCTTTTAGACTGTGAGAACATTCTCATTGAAGGGAATGACCACCAAACTCTTTGGTCAAGAAGCTCCAGAGCAGAGAGAAGCCAGAGTGAAGGTGCTAGAGGAGCAGATCGGTGAAGGGGAGCAGCAGCTGAAGTCCAAAAACCTGGAAAGCAGGTATAATGCTGCTGCTCAACAAGGCTACTGTGACGGACATGTGTTCTCTAGTGACAGCGCCTGCATGCCACCCGGGTGCTTACTGCACAGCTGGAGTAACGAAACCATGTGTAGGGAGGGGGCAGGGAAGGGATAGGGCATTGGCTTTGTGATTTTTATTCTTATACTTTTCATGATTCTTTGCGCATTCTCTGAGCCCTTTCTTTAGCCCCATTTAACAAAACCTGATCCTGCAGACACAACACAAGTGCCCTTCACCGACTATCATGGCATGGAATTTGTTCTTCTCTAGTCTTTTTTTTTTTTTCTGGTTTTTTTGAGACAGGGTTTCTCTGTGGTTTTAGAGCCTCTTCTCTAGTCTTACCGTTGGCACTGGGTGGGTAGGTGGCCAGTGATTGTCTCTGGCAGTTTGTGGGACCTTCAGAGTCATGAACTGTGAGAGTTGTACCCCCTTCTTAGCTTGAAATGTACTGGAGATTTTATTGGTGAGGGTTGGGGGCTTAGTCACACTGTGTTACTCAGGCTCCTGAACTCCCAGGACTTACACCTTCCCCTTAAACCTCCCCAGTAGCTGGTGCTACAGGTACTTGTCACTGAGCCCAGCAGTCAGAGTTTAAGAGACAGATTGTCATTTAAGATTTGTTTATTTTTATTTTATATATATGAGTATTTTGCCTCACGTATATGTATACACAGCATACATGCTAAGTGGCCATGAAGGTCAGAAGGGGTGTCAGGTCCTCTGGAACTAGGGTTACAGACAGTTTTGAGCTGCCATGTCGCTACTGTGAATTGAACCCAAGTCTTCAAGAGCATTAACCACTGAGCCATCTCTCCAGCTCCAAGTTGTCTTTTAAATCATACACATGCTAATCAGGATTCATAATCGATGTATGTTTCCCAGTGTCTCAAGGCAGACATTTCCTGTGGCATCTATATGTCTAAGTGGGTCCAGAAGCCATCCATATCTGTATGAAACAGAGCTGTGGCAAAAGTATTAACGTATATAGAGATAGTAGGCATAATGTGGAAGACTATTCAGATACTTCCGTTTTCCACTCACATCTTAGGGAAAGGAAAAATAGGTATCTTATACAAGCAAGCAGAGACAGCCTGAGGAGATGTAAAGATGTCTGTTTACTCCAGTTAGGGCACACCAAAGAGACAGTTCACTTGGTGAACCCGTGAGTTCATTGGGTTAATTGCAGTACATTGGACTCATGAAAGTCACACCCCTGGAGTCCTGTCCAGCTTGCAGACAGCTCCACAGAAGTGATTCTTTCCCTGGGAGTTTGCTCACTGCCTCTGTGACCTCCAGAAGGAGCCTTGTAAGTTTTGCAGCTTTCTGAGAGTCCAAAGCCTTACTAGTGACCCTAGTGTCCCTCCTCCCTTAGCAAAAGGTGTTTCAGCTTGGAGGAAATGACTGCTTGAACTGCTTGGTTGGGTTTGTGATGCGGCGTCTTTAAATGAGAATAAGCGTGGCTGTATGTTTGATTTCAGAGAATTTGTGAAGAATGCATGGGCTGATATCGAGCGCTTCAAAGAGCAGAAGAACCGGGACCTAAAGGAAGCCCTCATTAGCTATGCCATCATGCAGATTAGCATGTGCAAAAAGGTAGGAAGCCCTCATGAGGATGCAGCTGTGACTGCAGTGGCAGCTGGCTCAGAAGTGCATGCCTGCTAGGGAGGCAGCTTAGTTAGGAGAGCGGGAGGCCTGTGAGGTGGCTCCCTGGGGAAAGGTACTTCTGTCAAACTGATGACTTGATGTGAGTCCCACTTCCCACACAGTAGAAGGACTGGAGAACTCACTCACTCCAGTTCTTGCAAGTATCTTCTGACCTCCACACACTCACTGTGGCGTGTGTGCCACACACTGAGACAAATGGAAATAAGAAGGGCTAGACAGACTGAAAAGAGAGTGGGTTCCTGTTTCATCCCGCCTTGTGTTCCTCTCTAGTGCTGATATTAAAGGTGTGCACCACCACCGCCCGGCCTCTATGGCTAACTAGTGTGGCTGCTGGGATTAAAGGTGTGTGCCAGCACTTCCTGGCCTGTATTGCTGACTAGTGTGGCTAGCTTTGCACTCTGATCTTCAGGCAAGCTTTACTTGTTAGATCATAAACAAAATATCACTATATCCATGCATATCCCTCTTTTTTTTTCAAACCCATGTATGTGCCTTTGCTGAGCAAGAGCCCTACCACTGAGCTACAGTCCCAGATAAAGTCATGCCTGTACCTCAGCCTGCCTTGAGCTCACTATGTATCCAAGCTTGACTTGAATTCCCTGTGTATCCCAGGCTAGCCTGAAGCTCACTGTGCAGCACAGGCTTCCCTCACGCTCTCACTTCTGGCTCCTTATCCTAGGTGTTGAGATTAAGTGTAAACTGGGCTGTGGGGGCACACGCCTTTAATCCCAGCACTCAGGAGACAGATCTCTGAGTTCAAGGCCGTTCTGGCCTACAAAGTTGAGTTCCAGGATAGCCAGAACTGATTCAAAGAAAAACCCTGTCTTGAAAAACCAAATTTAAAAGAAAATAAAAAAAGATTATACCATATCTGGTGCATAACAGGGTCTTTTTCTTTAGAAACTTAAAAATTAGGTGCCCAGGGGCTGGAGAGATGGCTTCGTGGTTAAGAGCACTGGTTGCTCTTCCAGAGGTCATGAGTTCAATTCCCAGCAACCACATGAAGGCTCACAACCATCTGTAATGAGATCTGGTGCTCTCTTCTGCCATGTGGGCATACATGGAGGCAGAATGTTGTATACACAATAAATAAATAAATCTTTAAAAAAAGAAAAAAAAATTAGGTGCCCAGCCGGGCGGTGGTGGCGCACGCCTTTAATCCCAGCACTCGGGAGGCAGAGGCAGGCAGATGGATCTCTGTGATTTCGAGGCCAGCCTGGTCTAGAAGAGCTAGTTCAAGGACAGGAACCAAAAAGCTAAGGAGAAACCCTGTCTCGAAAATAAAAAATAAAAAATAAAAAAAATTAGGTGCCCAAAGTTAAGATTGACATTAGTTTATTCTTGGGTAAATATGAGTATATTTTACATATGTAGTTACATCATATCATTATTGATTAACTTAGGTTCCTTGGCTTGACTGAATTGCAGTAATGAAACAGTAAAAGCACATAAATCACGAAGCGTTTTAGTTAGTAGCTGGGCTGGGGCTGTAGCTCAGTTAGCAGAGTGCTCACCTTGTATGCCAGAGCCCTGTGCTTGGTCCCTAGCCCTGCAAACAACTAGGCATTCTGATGCACCTTATAGGGAAGGAGATCTGAGGCAAGAAGATCAGATGTTCCCACATACTGAGTTCAAGAGTAGCCTGGGCTATTTGTGCCCCTCTCCCACTCCAAAACAAAAAGTAAATAGTATTTCTGGTTTTGGTTAACCTTTGTAATAGTGAGTTATCTAATTTATCAAATAGATAGGCTAAAGCTTTTGGGTTTTCTTTTTTCTTTTTTTCTTTTTTTTTTTTTTATTTTACTTTTTTTTCGAGACAGGGTTTCTCTGTGGCTTTGGAGCCTGTCCTGGAACTAGCTCTTGTAGACCAGGCTGGTCTCGAACTCACAGAGATCCACCTGCCTCTGCCTCCTGAGTGCTGGGATTAAAGGCGTACGCCACCACCGCCCGGCTCTTTTTTATTTCTCTAAAAGACTTACTTTTATTTTTAATTATGAGTATATTTGTGTCTTATGTGTGGGTACTGCACATGAGTGCAGGTACCTGAAGAAGCATCAGCTCCCCCACAGCTGGAGTTAGTTGTGAGCAACCTGATGTGGGGCACTGGGGACCAAACTCAGGTCCTCTGCAAGAGCAGTGCAGGCTCTCTTAGCCACTAAGCATCTCTCCAGCCCATTGAGGGGGCTGGAGAGATGGCTCTTCCAAAGGTCCTGAGTTTAATTCCCGGCAACCACATGGTGGCTCACAACCATCTGTAATGAGGTCTGGTGCCCTCTTCTGGCCTGCAGACATACAGACAGAATATTGTGTACATAATAAATAAATAAATAGGCCGGGCGATGGTGGCGCACGCCTGTAATCCCAGCACTCGGGAGGCAGAGGCAGGCGGATCTCTGTGAGTTCGAGACCAGCCTGGTCTACAGAGCTAGTTCCAGGACAGGCTCCAAAACCACAGAGAAACCTTGTCTCGAAAAAACCAAAAAATAAATAAATAAATAAATAAATATTTTAAAAATAAATAAATAAATATTGGACAGGTGCGGTTACACACACGTTTAATTCTAGCACTTCGGAGGCAGAAGCAGGCAGGTCTCTGTGAGTTTGAAGCCAGTCTGGTCTGTATGGTGAGTTCCTGGCTATCCAGAGCTACATAATCTGTCTCAAAACAAACAAGTTAAAAATTGATTTTTAATTTATTTTATGTAGCATATAGCACAGATATAATGAATATTTCAGTGACTCAGAACATAGAAGTAAACATCCCCCCACCACGATCCCTTTTAAAAGTCATTCCTCTATCACACTTCAGTGTGCATCCTTTTGGGTGTTTAGATAGCAACAGTCACTTAGGAAATGCTTGCATTTCTCCATCCCCCAGACAAAACTGCATTGTATGTGCTCATGTGAACTCTTATGCAACAGTGCTGAGACCTATCGTATTTTTTTCTTTTATAAAAAACACTTTTTATGTGGGAGGTGGGGCATGCATGTTGGTCCTGGAGAGCCACCTCACTGCTTCCTGTTTTCTTTAATCAGGGTAGGGCCTAACGGTGTGACCCAGATTGGAGGGGTCTGGTGTCTTCCAAGCATAGAGTTCCTATCATCTGCAAACAGGGACAATTTGACGTCTTTGTCCCCTTTTGTGTCGCTTTGATGGCTTTCCTCCCATTAGAGTGATGTTTTCATTCCCCAGTCACCACGATGTTGGTTCTAGGGCAGAATCACATTGTAAGTTTCTTTTGTTTTCAGGGAATTCAAGTTTGGACCAATGCTAAGGAGTGCTTTAGCAAGATGTAATCCGGGAAAGTGACTTTCTCTCCAATCAAAGTGCCCCAAAATGAAGCACAAGTAAAAAGAAATTCAGTTGCTACCTAATACACATAAAAGCATACAGTAAATTGAACAAATCAGCTTTCTTTAACTTAAGTATTTGTGTTCATATAGCACAAAAGGAGACATTTTAATGAAGAATAATTTGAGGTTTTGGGGACTGGTGCTGATTCCAAAAGTTAATTTAATAAGATATACCAACAGATTATTCATCAGGCTTCTGAACCAACGACTGAGTGTTAGGGTGTTAGTTAATTCCCACGTGCTCCTCTCAGTGCCAGCTGTTCCAGATCTCCTCATGTCGGGAGTCTTTCCAAGATGACATTCCTGTCTTTACTTGGTGGGACCCACTTCTGCTGTCGGGTTATTTTATCTGCCTTATAGTTGAGCTGTTTAGTTTGACAAAGCTCAGCAGAAACTTATTGTGAAATCTGAGGTTTCCTTCCCTGTTCGTAGATCCCTATACCATCTGCGTACACTAGAAAAAAATGCCTTCAGTTTGTGTTTCACCAAAATTTTGATACTGGTGAGAAATTTTATACTGCCAACAAAGAAGTCTCGGCTTCTCAGATATGCAGTGGAGTAAATACATTATTATGATCTAGCAATCACTCTATAGAAAGTTTTAATTGAACATTATTATCCTCAAATAATTGTTAACCTCAGCAACGAGCCTCCATTCTTCTGCTTGGCTCTGTGCACATGGCATTTCAGGGTACGAGATGTAGTGTTTCCATGTGTAAGACACTCACAGTGAACACGTGTGGGCTGGTACCTTCATCATTAATGTGCTTTTCTATTGCCTGGCTGTGGATTTTGTAAAGATAAATTATGTTGTTGTGTTTTTAATGTGTGTGTCATTGTACATGTTCAGAAGCCAAGCACTCTATCTGCCAGCTTCAGAATATTAACTGTGCACTCATCATTTCTAATGTTTTAAAACTATACTCAGTACTGTTTAACATTTGACTTTTTTACATGTTTAAAATGTTGCTGGATTTTTGTGCTGTTTGCCAAACTTATACAATAAATAAAGAAAATGTGTGTTTATTTCCAAAAGCTTCCTGTTATTTTACAATGCTCCATGCATGTAAATATCTGATTTTCTGGTAGAAAATAATGCATGTCATATTTTATTTTAAAGTGACTTAAATGTTGGTGTTTTAAAACATAAGATGTTGCTATGGTTTGTGTTTTTTTGACATGGTATCATGTAGCCTTTGTTAATTCTGGAACTGGTTATATAGACCAGGCTGGACTCAGAAAGATCCGCCTGCCTCTGCCTCCCGAATGAGTGCTAGGATTGAAGGCATGCCTGGGTGTGCTGTGGTCTTTAAAAAGAACATTTAAAAGCAAAAGTTACCTGTGTGGATACACATTTTCTCCCTCTGTGTTCTAACCTCTTGATTAACAAAATACCCTCTACGTGGTCGTTAGAAGTCACATGCCAAGACTTGAGTTATAGCTCGTTACAGAGTGCTCACCTTCCTATGTGCAAAGACCTGGCTCGGGTTCCTAATGCCACACACAAGTAAATGACAAGCTTGATTTCACTGTGGTGGACATGCCTGTAATACCAGCACTCAGCCAGTGGGGGAACACAGGTTTGAGGCTGGCCTGGGCTACATCGTTCCAAGCCAGCGTGAGCTACATCGTTCCAAGCCAGCGTGAGCTACAAAGGGAAGCCTTTTTTTTTTTTTTTTCGCCCAAGAAGAAGGCTCTTTTTTAAAGATTTATGTATTTACTGTGTATACATTGTTCTGCCTGCATAACAGGAGAGGACAATAGATCTCATTACAGATAATTGTGAGCCACCATGGGGTTGCTGGGAACTGAACTCAGGACCTTTGGAAGAATAGCCAGTGCTCTTAACCTCTGAGCCACCTCTCCAGCCCGAGAAGGCTCTTTCTTAAACTGACTTCAACAACATGTGGCAGATTAATGAGAAGTGTTTGGAAAGAAGAATTAAAGCCAACTGTGGTGCTGTATGCCTGCAGTCCCCGCTGCACAGGGCGGAAGCGCTAGGATCCTTTCAGCCAAGCCAATGCGCTGAGACTCAATCTTAGTTCTTGTCTTTGTAAATATGTGTGTGTGTTTATATATGTGTGTATGAATATGAATTAGGATAGAATGTGACCTTTTCTAAAACATTGCAAACACACTTGGTTGTATTTGACTGGGGACTGTCTTGATGGGTACTGTTACTCAGTTTTACAGAACTCATAAGGGAATTTTATTATGGAATTTATATTATCTAGATAAAATAGTCTAGGGTCAAAGAGCTCAGCAGGTAAAGCTGCTGCTGCCCCCGCCACCGCTCTGCCCACCAGCCTGGGTCTGATCCTGAGACCCATGTCCTGGAAGGAGAGAATGACGTCTGCAGATTGTCATCTGACCACCACACCAGTGCCCCGGCACATGCACACACACACACAAATGGGTATGTAAAAATCAGAATGGATTAGTAAAAGCAAAGTGTTTTCCAAGGATAAATGTAGAAAGATAGTATGAGCAGTGACTAAGGAAAAGTGACCCAGTGAGCTAACAGAAGTACTTAAAGACTGGGGGTACAGTCAGTTTGATAAAGTTGAAGCACTAAAGTTGTATTTGACCTTCATTTACATCCAAATTAGCCACCTTCCTGTGAAAGCCTGAAGACAGACATCATTGTGAATTACATGGAGCATTCCAAACAGGAACTGAGGGTGCCCATTTGAGCATCCTTAAACACAAAGTACCCAGCCTGAAATGGAGCAAGAAGTCAAGAGTTGTAACAAGAGGCTGGAGAGGTGGCTCATCTGTAGCTCACAGATGTGTGTAACTCCAGCTCCTGGAATCCAGTGTCTCTGGCTTTCCACAGGTGCTTGGTGTTCATGTGCACATACCCAGTGCAGATACACACCTCCATGTAATCACAGAAGATAACACTTAGATGTACAAAGCAGGAGTGTTAGGCTTTTTCAATCCCTTTTATCCTTTAGACTTTTATATATTGTCCAGCTGGTAGCACACCATTAATCTCAGCTGGGAAGGAAGGCAGATGGGCAAGTGGGTCTTGTGAGTTCAAAACCAGCCTGGTTTACTTAGCACATTCCTGGCCAGCCAGGGCTGCACCATAGTTAGATGCTGTCTCAAAAAAGAAAAAAATTAGCCAGATGGTGGTGGTACACACCTTTCATCCTAGCTCTCGGGAGGCAGAGGCAGGTGGATCTCAGTGAGTTTGAGGTTAGTCTGGTGTAGAGTGAGTTCCAGAAAACTGTTTCACAGAGAAACCCTTTCTCAGTGTGGAGGGTGGTTTTTGGAGACAGGATTTCTCTGTATAACAACCCTAGCTGTCCTGGAACTAGCTCTTGTAAACCAGGCTAGCCTTGAACTCACAGAGACCCACCTGCCTCTGCCTTCTGAGTGCCGGGATGAAAAGCATGCCCGATTTGTTTTTGTTTTTACTTCTTTCTGAGACTCGTAGAAAGTTTCTCCTAAGAAGAAGATTAGAAATTTGTTTCAGGGTTAACAAACCACAGAAAACAAAAAGGCTAACCCATAATTATAATTTCTTCTTAAATTATCTATCTTTAGGTACACACTTGAAAGGACACTAAAAGGAAAAACAGCACAGAAGTGACAGTGCCTCAGAGCATAAGGTGAAGAACAATATAAAACGCCTAACTCAAGCTGGGCAATGGTGGCGCACGCCTTTAGTCCCAGCACTCGGGAGGCAGAGTCAGGCGGATCTCTGTGAGTTCGAGACCAGCCTGGTCTACAGAGCTAGTTCCAGGACAGGCTCCAAAGCCACAGAGAAACCCTGTCTCCAAAAACAAAAAACAAACAAACAAAAAACCCGCCTAACTCAGCATCTGCGTACATGTACATGCACATGTGCACACACACACACACACACACAGACGGCGTGTACATGTAGGGGTAGAAAAGGCGACTTGCATTGTTGCTCATATTGCAAACATTCAGCAGGATACCATCAGGAGTGGATGCACGTATTGGAAGATGGGCAAGCTATGAAGTAACTGTCAGTTCCTCAACTTTAGTGTGCTTATAAATCATGTGATCTAGTTGAAATATAAATTCTGATTGAGTTTTTTGGACCTAGGGCCTGAGAGTTGCATTTCTCCTGATAAAACTGAAGGTTCATTTTGGCTAGTCTGGCAGGCCAGGGACCTTCTGGTTTCTGTGGGTATCTGTACACAAAAGGCATACTCACGCAAAGCTTTGTTTTTAGGTTTTTGTTTTATTTTGTATGTGTATGTTTCTCCTGCACACGTGTGCCATTTGAATGTCTGAAGCATTATTTCTGTGAGTGTGCATGATGTTTCTAGAGATTAACATTGATCAGTAGACTGAACACAAGGGGTGCCCACCTCAGGGTGGGTGAACAACATTGTTACAGCTGTTGAGGATTCAGATACAGCACAGGCTACTCTCAAAAAGAGAGTATAAGACAACCAGTATTGTTTAGGGTGCAGGGAAACTGGGACCTTGGGCACCAGTACAGGGATGTGAAGAGAAACCTGACCCTGGTGAAACAGTATGGCAGTTCTCCCCAAAGTTAAAACTAAGCTGGGCATGTCTGCACAGGCCTGTGACCCCAGCAGTTGTAAAGGAGAAGCAGGAAGACCAGGAGTTCAAGGTCATCCTCAGTTACTTAGCCAGTTCAAGGCCAGCCTTGGCAGTTTGGCCCCTCAAACCAAAACAAAACTTGTTTGGTATTTGTTTGTTTGAGACAGGGTTTCTCTGTGCAACCCTGGCTATCCTGGAACCAAAACAAAAGCTGTTTGGTTTGTTTGTTTGAGACAGAGTTTCTCTGTGTAACCCTGTCTGTATCCTGGAACTCCTACTGTAGACCAGACTGGCTTTAAACTGACAGCTGGGATTAAAGGCGTGTGCTACCACCACCCAGCTACAAAACATGAGACCATCCTGGACTACATGCAACCTTGTCTCAAATATAGGTAGATAGGCAGAAAGATAGATAGATAGATAGATAGATA